CAAAGTCAGTTTCAGCAGCCGGACCCAGAGATTCTGTGGGGTTGAGAGACCCCAGCTTAGAGACCCCACCACGACCTTCCCTGCACGCCCCTCCTGGCTAAAGAGAGAACCCAGGAATCCTGGCTCCCAGCCCTCCTGCTCTAGGAGCTCGGGGCGGCACCCAGGCTCACCGTGTTATGGCGATGGGAACAGCCGGGTGGGCAGCGCTTGGAGAGGATGCAGGCGTCTAAGATGGCGGAGAGGCGCTTCCGTAGAACTTGGGAGAAGGGAAAGACGTGAGAGCAGGACACTGGCCGTGGCGAGTGGGAAGAATCCCCTTGGCGTATGTGACAGTACGGGGCAGAGGACACACATCGCCGCGCTGTTTGTGTCCCTGCTGACCCGTGCTGGAGGGGGTGAGACCTGCTCTGCACGTGTGTGCGTATTTACCCCTTCGCTTAGATCATGTCGTCAGACAAAGCCTCTGGAGGCAGATGGAGAATCCCTCTCAGGCAGGGAGCACTATGGGGCATATGGCCACCAGCTCTTCAAGGGCCCAGCTGGGCACTGGGGAAACTTACCATGCTCCACGTAGGTGATGAATCCCAGAGACAGCAGCACAGCAGCCAGGTGGAAGCTGAGACCCTGGAGTTGTGGGGAGGAGACATCAGCCAGTGGCCAGTGGGGCAGGGGTGTCCCCCATTCCTCCCCCTGAAACTTACATGCAGGAGGGCGCTGGCGGCGTACGTGACAATGACAGCCGAGAAGGTCCCCAGCTGGAGACTGTTCTTAAAGACATCTGCAAGGAAACCGGTGCTCCCCACAGCGCCCCCTGCTGGGAGAGGCCTCCCCTGTCCTGCGCCCCACAGCACCCCCTGCTAGGAGAGACCTCCCCCATCCTGCTCCCCACAGCGCCCCCTGCTGGGAGAGGCCTCCCCTGTCCTGCGCCCCACAGCACCCCCTGCTAGGAGAGACCTCCCCCATCCTGCTCCCCACAGCGCCCCCTGCTGGGAGAGGCCTCCCCTGTCCTGCGCCCCACAGCACCCCCTGCTAGGAGAGACCTCCCCCATCCTGCTCCCCACAGCGCCCCCTGCTGGGAGAGGCCTCCCCTGTCCTGCGCCCCACAGCACCCCCTGCTAGGAGAGACCTCCCCCATCCTGCTCCCCACAGCGCCCCCTGCTGGGAGAGGCCTCCCCTGTCCTGCGCCCCACAGCACCCCCTGCTAGGAGAGACCTCCCCCATCCTGCTCCCCACAGCGCCCCCTGCTGGGAGAGGCCTCCCCTGTCCTGCGCCCCACAGCACCCCCTGCTAGGAGAGACCTCCCCCATCCTGCTCCCCACAGCGCCCCCTGCTGGGAGAGGCCTCCCCTGTCCTGCGCCCCACAGCACCCCCTGCTAGGAGAGACCTCCCCCATCCTGCTCCCCACAGCGCCCCCTGCTGGGAGAGGCCTCCCCTGTCCTGCGCCCCACAGCACCCCCTGCTAGGAGAGACCTCCCCCATCCTGCTCCCCACAGCGCCCCCTGCTGGGAGAGGCCTCCCCTGTCCTGCGCCCCACAGCACCCCCTGCTAGGAGAGACCTCCCCCATCCTGCTCCCCACAGCGCCCCCTGCTGGGAGAGGCCTCCCCTGTCCTGCGCCCCACAGCACCCCCTGCTAGGAGAGACCTCCCCCATCCTGCTCCCCACAGCGCCCCCTGCTGGGAGAGGCCTCCCCCGCAGCACCCCTCCCCCTTAGTGGACCTTACAGGAGTTGAGCCAACTGGACATGGGCAGGTTCCAGCTGGTGACGACCTCCACCATCGACCGGGGCAGCTCAACATTCAAGGGGCGGGACACTGTGAGGTCCCTGTCAGGAGACAGCGAGAGCAGTCAGGGCTGGCTGGGGCCTTGGGGAGGCAGTGGGGGCTAGTGGCTGGAGTCCTGGCCTCTCTCCCCTGCTACTCACCATTTGAGGTTGTCCTTCTCCTCGGTGAACCCCGCCCCAGCCAGCGTGGCCGGGGCCTCGCGGGAGACGGCGCTCTCGTAGGCCCGGAGCCACCTGTGGGGTGGAGGTGGGTCAGGGTCAAGCCCCGGGAACCTGCCTAGGGCAGGCTGGGCCCATCTCAGAGGCCCCTGCTGGCCTGGGCCCACCCTGGCCGGCATCCCACTCACCTGACTGCAAAACCCCTGGGTGGCGTGGGCAGGAGGGGAGAGTCAGAGGCCGGGAAATTGAAGAAGAAATTGACAAGTGTCAGTGAGGTACGTGGATAATCACGGTGCCAGGGAGCGAGCGAGGTGGT